TATTTATATAAGATTTAAAATATACCCTCATTTTCTTCCTTGGAGAATATCCAAGATGGTTGGAGAGCAGAAATAGGAACTGTGGTGACTTTAAATTGTTCCTCAATACAGTAACAGGAAAACAGAATTGGAAGGGACCTTGGAGGTCTTCTAATCCAACCCCCTGGTCAAAGGAAGAGATCCCATTCCAGAGAAATGGATGTCCAATCTCTTCTGAAAAACCTCCAGTGATGGAAAACCACAGCTTCTGGAGGCAAGTTGTTCCACTGATTAATCATTCTCACTGTCAGGCAATTTGTTCTCAAATTCACAAGATTTTGGAAATGTCAATATGAACTTAGGAATTTTAGTCCTTTTCCGTACAGTCTCGTGTTTCAGCTCTCTGACTCTAAACTTATTCTCACAGTTATTCTAAATTTTCAAAATGCTCAGAAAAGGATCTGGGGCTACTATTAGCATGATAGCAGAAGTTGTGCCTTTCCGTTTGATCTCTTGGGTGGTCTTATTCTCATTAGCCTCCATGCCTTCCCCTTGCATCTTCCCCTGTTATCTTACAGTTCTGCCATGAAGGTCGTGAGAAGTATGGCACTGATTTTGGTTAAGCTTTCTTTACCTAGTGCTCTCGCTGGTTTGCTTTATGTTGTAGTCCATTTGAGTTTGCCATTTTTTTTACAGATTAGAGCTCCTATATAAACTTGGTTGTTTCCTTGAGGACATTTCATTACCTAGCTAGGTAACATCATCAGTGTGGTGGTGGTGGTGGTGGCTGTGGTGATGAAGATGATACCTAGTTGGAAAATGAAACATCTTCAAGCAAGCAACTGAGCTTGGAGAATACCAAGAACTCCATAATTCAACTCTACAGATTTTTTTTCTGTTGTTCTATCTAATTTGTCTCTTCTCTCTGATTGGAATGATAAATGGGGTGAACCTGTTATCTAATTATCCACTGGATATCTTGGACCATTTACTCTTTGTTCTAAGTTTCTATAATTGGACAAAACTTGTTTGGTCTACAATTCAACAAATCTTATGGAATAATCTTCGCCACCACCTGAAGTTCAGATATCTTATTGGCTTTCTGAAAGACTTGATGATCTATATCCCCCCTCCTCCCAAGTATGGGGAAGGTATGGGTGCTTTAATTGGGCTTTATAAATTATTGGTCACTGAAAGTTAGGTTTGTCAAGGTAAGTGAATGCTTCTATAAATTTGTTTAATTAATAATATAAATATAGGTTTATATTGATGTGGCTTGTGGTTGTTATACAAACTGAAATGCTGTCTTCTGATTTTCATATTTCTCTGGTAGGTGGCATGCCATTCAATGCTCAAAATATTGGAATAAAAAAACAAGCATTGTAGAAATTGCATACAACATGGTATACTATATGTTAGAGAAATTCATTTAGAAAAAATAGAGACATATTGAGGAAGACAGTTGCAAAAATGTTTATGTAGTGTTTTGTTTTTTTAAATAATTCCAAATGCTTAAAGGTATAAATATAAAATATACTTGTGCTTAGAAGTTAATGTTATAGAAACAAAACAAATTTACCTCTCTCTCTTCATAGCAACTGTTATTTTAGAGGACCGTGTCATGTCTTAATGAAAATTATTACATTGGTTCCAGATTATGGTATAGATTTTATTTTCACATGAGTACCAGATACTCCTTTTAGTATTATCCATAGCCTCCCTCTTTCTCCCTCCCTCCCTCCCTCTCTCTCTCTTTCTCTCTTTCACCCCTCCTCTTTTTCCTCATTTACTAACTGCTGTAATGCTATGGGGAGGATTGCACATATATCATCAACATTGTTTTGGGGAACAAACCTTTGAACTGAGACCTTAACTTTCTCAAATGTGCAGCTATGGTCTCCATTTGCATTGGTCTCCATTTGGATGTGGCCTTCAGTTTGTACTACTGCAAACAGACCTAGCCTAGGGGGAAGAAAGGAACAAATGTGATGGGTCCAAGTTTGAAATTCCAGTTAATGGCTTTCAAAAGTAGACAAATTTATTAGTTATGCACCATCATATTGATAGTCCTCAGAGCAGACAAAATTCAGTCATTTTGAATGACAGTCATTCACCAAATGTCAACCATCTTTAGGTGCAGGAAGATCACAAATAGGGGTTAGTGATGCTTCTGGGTTAATTTTAGTTTCCTCTGCTTGATCTTATGAATATTTAGACTTAATGAATCTACAATTACAGAATAACAGAGTTGGAAGGGACCTTGGAGGTTTTCTAGTCAGGAGATATTATATCATTCCAGACAAATGACTGTCCAATCTCTTCTTTAAAACCTCCAGTGAGATGTAGTTGAAGACATCAAGACCAAGTCATCTTAGGGCAACTTGATCAAGATCTGTACTAAACCATTTCTACTGCTTCCTTTCATGTCATGTGTGTGTATATGTGTGTGAGAGTGCATGGGAACTGTTTGAGAAGGAAAGGTATGATGAAATCCATCCCTATGTCTCCAATATATATCCATGAAAAACTCAACATGTGTTGCAAGAAAATGACTTCCATGCTGCTATGATGAAATTGCAGTTTGACTTAAAACAGGGATGGAATTCTACCGTTCGGTCCACCTCTGTAGAACCAATACTTCTGAAGAGCAGCAGACATAGAGCATACATAGAACCGGTTCTATGTCTGCTGCTGTTTTGGCCCACCCGCCTGTTCAGGCTCTTACCTGACCTTTATTTCCTGCTTTTACAACTGCAGCTGTTTTGCGCGACACAGCTGTGGTTGAAAAAGCAGGAAAAAAATGCTTTCTCAAATGTTGCGCACCCGCACGCAGCGCTGCTCAGCTGTCCAGGCAGCTAGCTGACAATGATATACACACGCACGCAGCGCATGTCAGGCACACATGCATGCGAAGTGCGCACACACAAAACGTAAAATCACCGAACCGGTAGTTACACTGGTTGGATCCCACCCCTGACTTAAAGGCTAGTTCTGAACTAATAAATAAACTGAGCTGACAAACCAATAGATGTCTGAAGAGTTTCATGAAAATCCACTGATAGAAGTGTAATTTGAAGTTACCTTGTTAAATATTTCAATATTTTAAATATCTGGTCTGCCCAGCTTTGAATGAATTATTGCCAATGTTGGTCCCCTGCACACTTTGAGTAGACAGCCTTGGTTTGTGGAAAAGGTTTACCTCAGCATCCATAAAAAAAAGATAAGCTGGGTTATCTTGGCTATTATAAGAAATGTCCTTTACAGCTAGTCCTTCCTTAACAACTGCTCAAAGTTATGACAGACACCCCCCGCCCCCCAAAAAAGTTACGAACCGTCCTTGAAGTTACAACCACTGTTCCCTGCATTTCCCCTCATGGTCATGTATCACATTTTGGGTGCTTAGCAACTAGCTTGCATTTATGACTGGTTGAAGTGTTCTGTAGACACATGACCACAATTGACTGGCACTTTTTGCCAGCAAAAAACATTGATTTGAAATCATTTTATGACCATATGGTTTGCTTAGTGGCTCTGTGATCCACTTAATGATCATGGCTTTATGACTATCATAAAAACAGTTATAAAATCAAGTCAGGTCATGTGGTGACCTGCTTAACTACTACAAGGACTAACAGTGGAAATTCTAGCCTCAGTTGTGTTTGTTAAGGGAAGACTATCTGTATTATCATTAATCTTTGTTCTTTACAAAAGAAACTTTTCCCTTGCTTTTTAAACAGTAAATGAAAGAATTCCTTTATGCCCCCTTGAATTTCTGAAAGGAAATCACCATATGAATCTAAAACACCAACAAAAATTGAAAAAAATAATAAGAGCCTGTAGTAGAACAAGCAAAAATAGCAAAAACAGCCATATGCTTATATAAGAATTTGTGTCTTAATGTACAGTTTGATCTTATTCTACCAATTATTAAAGCAATATCAGTGGTCAATTTCAAAATATTTTGTCAGAAAATTATTTCAAATACTGTATGTTATAGAAAAAATATTTAAATCAAGCAAATACACAAATGGACTTGGAATGCCTGAAATGAACAAATAATTTTATCATATCCAATTGCTGAATCTCATACTTAATGTAACATTCCTAAGTTCTAAAAATTGGGTTGTTTTCCACAACTTCATATACACAGTTTTAACTGAAATTTAATTACTCATTCTGTAAAGCACATTAGTGAAGACTCCTTTAGGGTTAATAAATATTGCTTCTTCCTTTATTGCATTTTCAACTTGAATTCAGACCTACTTTCCTCCAAATGAAGATCCCTTTGAAAATCCCTCCTTATTTATTTGAAAATGGGTAGAAATGTTGAACCATGTATCATACATATGGTTGTTGTTTTTAATTATACTTCACTCTTCTAAATTTCTCTTCAATCAAAGAAGACAGCAAATCTTTTTTTCCCCTTTTTGGTAGTTCATTGTTTTATTGTATAAAAGATCCAATTAATACATTACAGAATTCATATATCAGTTATGTATAATGGCATTTCTACAAAAAAAAAACCACCTAAATTTTCCTGACACAATAATTTGATAACTAAAGATAAGAAAAGAATTACATCAGTGTAAATTTGAGGTGTTAATGACTGTACAGTTACTTCAACTGTACAAATAAAGCTAAGGGTGGCATTAATAGGCTATCACAAACTGCATATATATTTTTTAATATAATAAGGATTTCTATTTGTAGCTTGATACGTAATATTGAGATCTCCAGTCTATAATTGTTACTGTTCATGAATATTCCAAAGAAGGAAAATAGAAAACGAAACAAAGATTAAAAGCGGGGCAGGGAAGCTGCTTTGAGAAATAGATAACTTTATATTTAACTGACAAGATAGCAATTCTTGAGTTTAATTTTCTGTTTTTCATTTTACATTGTCTTTACAACCCAAGAATGCAAAAAACGGGCATTAAATTCATCTGATTAAGTTGCATGCATAATGACACTCCTCTCCTCCTTCCTTCCTTCCTTCCTTCCTTTTGTTTCTTTCACTGCAGTTTCCTGCTTCTTCAATTTCACCAGTCCATCTGGGATTGTGCTCTCCCCGAATTACCCTGAGGAATATGGCAGCAGCTTGCACTGCGTCTGGCTAATCATTGCAAATCCTGAAAGTCGGATCCATTTGGCTTTCAATGATTTTGATGTGGAGCCTCAGTTTGACTTCTTGGCGGTGAAGGATGGTGGAACAGCTGAATCACCCACCCTTGGGACATTCTCTGGAAGCCAACTCCCATCTTCTCTGACCAGTAGTGGCCATGTTGCCAGGTTGGAATTCCAGACAGATCACTCCACTGAGAAGCGTGGCTTCAACATCACGTTTACCAGTAAGTCAACAGAAAGCAAAGGATGACAGTACACAAACAGGTGTGCAAGGAAGATTCAGGGCCACCTCTTTGTTGTTTTGAATCAGAGTGGCAGCTAGAAATACTCAGATCAGTATATATGCTACTGCTGGTAAATCAGCATTGGGTCTGATGGGGTTTGGTTTGGTTTTCTCCAAGATATTTCATGATAGAAGGCTTCCATTCTTAACCAATCTTAAACAGTAAATGAAATAGATAATTGATATGCTACACAAGAAAGCATGACCCTCTAGCTTAATATTTATGAACAGGAGTCATTTTGGTCTCTACCAAGGTTCTACTAGAATGGAGACAATATCCTGTTTGGGGAGGAGGATGCACACTCAGCATCACAGCCATTTGTGAACAATCAAGGCTTCCAAAGGAGATTTATTTACTTATTTATCAAATTCACATGGTCTCCCATCCTGCGCAAAGCAAGTAGGGGTGGTTACAATAAAACCAACAATAAAACATTTTACAAATTCAGATTAAAACAATAAAACATAAATAGAAATGTATAGGGGACTACAGTGGCAGAAAAGGCTTGTCTTCTGGGTCCCACCGGTTGAAAGTCCTTAATAAATGGGACCTGTAAAATGCCCCTCCCCCCCCCAACAGGTCTGATGGGATAACAGAATAATAGTGTTGAAAGGGATCTTGGTTCTGGTCTTCTAGTCCAATGCCCTGTTCAAGGAGGAGACCCTATATCATTTGAGACAAATGGTTGGTCAAGTCTCTTCTTAAAAACCTCAGCGATAGAGCACCTACAACTTTTGAAAGCAAATTGTTCCACTGATTAATTGTTCTAACTGTCAGGAAATTCCTCCTTAGTTCTAGGTTGCTTCTCTCCTTGATTATTTTCCATCTGTTGTTTCTTGTCCTGTCTTCAAATGCTTTGGAGAATAGTTTGACTCCCTCTTCTTTGGGGCAACCCCTGAGATATTGGAACACTCCTATCATGTCACCTCTAATCCTTCTTTTCATTAAACTAGACATACCCAATTCCTGCAACCATTATGCATATATTTAAGGATGGGTGAGTGTAATCAGGGAGAGGTAGTCCTTCAGATCTCAGCCCTAAAAAGATGCTGCCCGAAAACCAGCATCTTGAATTGGGCCCAGAAGTAAACTGGTAACCAACCAACTTAGAATGCATCTACCACATGCTCTTGAAATTGAAAACTGTCCCATGATCCAAGAGATTATCACTACTGTACTTTCACCATATTTTCCTAACATATGGAGCCTCTCTGCATATCTTCCTTTAATTTATGTTGCTGAATATAAATTGCTCGAGAATCTTTTTAAAATGCAAATTGCCCTTCTTTCATTCTTTGACATGTCAATTTCTCTGGTTCTTTAACATATTTTTTCCTTGTAAATTCTCACTGTCTTTCCCAATATAGCTAGCATTATTTGTTTGCAGCTATCTGTTCTGCATCCTCTTTTCAGATAATTTTCAGGTAAATTAAACCTCATAAGTGAATGACAAATGTCAGCATCATTTGATGTTAATGTGCTTTGCAGCTGCAAAGTTCCACTGACTCCCGAAGGGATCTGTGGCATATACATATTTGTAGCTTTTGAATATTTAAGGCCAGACTGCATATTTTGACTAAAATCTGGCAATCCCTGTTTTCACATCTTTGCAGAATGAGAAATAGCATAAGTGGGAGCTACAATTAAGTTAAAAATGTATTGCAAGTTTCTCTGAATTGATTGATGTGGCAAGTGAACAGGTTTGGGTTCAGTTTTTAATTCTGCAGTACAGGAAGACCTCAACTTACAACGACAACTGAAGCCAGAATTCCCATTGCTAAGCAAGGGGGTTGTTAGTGAGTCACACCTGATTTAATGACCATTTTTGCTACAGTTTTCAAAAGAATAACTGCAATTGTTAAATGAGCCATGATCCCCCATTTGCTTGTTGGAAGTCAACTGGAAAGGTCACAGATGGTAATCACATGACCCTGCAACCATTGTAAATATATGTGGATTGCCATGCACTTGGATTTTGATGCTGTGACAGTCATAAGTGTGAAGAACGGTGATAATTCATTTTTCTCAGTGCCCATTATAACTTTGAATTGTCACTAAGCAAATGGTTGTAAGTACAGTAGACTATGTGTAGTTGGCCAAAGTTACATACATACCTCCCTAATTTCCCTTCTACCCACTCACCCCACTCACACACACACACACCAATATTCAGGAAGATAAGTCAGTATTGTGGGATAGGAGTAACACAAGAGCTAACATTTAATAAAAACTTTTGATAATAGTTTAAGCCTTGTAGTCATGAGGTTGACAGTGGAGGATAACATTAAAAATTGATTATGCTCCCCCCCGCCCCAAATGCTCCACTACAATATGTATTTTCTGAATCTCCAGTGCTTTTGAACAAATCTTGTCTAGGGAAAATTGAAAATAATGTAATATTCAATCTATTCACGTAGAAAAAAATTAAAACCCATGCAAATCACAATATGTTTTAAAATTATACTAGTTCAGTAGTTCTTATACTGTAAGACCAGGCTCATAATACAAATGTTTGTTATAAACCATCAAAATCCTTAAATTTAGCACTTATATGAGCTTAAGCCACCCATTAAACCATATATGGTTTGGGAAAAAGTCAAAATCCCAGATGTAGATTTATTTTGCAATTATTGTAAAATACATTTTAATATGTGGTAAACAATCACAGCCCAGAAAATAAAGCTAGATAGTTAATTTAATATATAGATATATATAGATACAGTTTTAACACTGGTCTGTGACCGTAATAAAAATGCATTGATTGATTGATACAGTTTTAACTGATTAAAAATGTCTTTATTACTTTATTTGTTTGTTAAGCTTGCCCCAATCTATAGATTGCAGATAACATAAAACAAAATATATTAACAATAAACAAGTAGTTCTCGACTTATAACCACAATTGAGCCCAGAATTTTTGTGAGAAATTTGTTAAATGAGTTTTGCCCCATTTTATGACTTTTATTGCCACATTTGTTAAATGAATCACTGCAGTTAAATTAGTAACATGGTTGTTAAGTGAATCTGATTTTCCCATTTATTTTTCTTATTATGTGACTGTGGGGATGGAGCAATGGTCATAAGTGGGGAAAATGGTCATAAGTCACTTTTTTTCAGTGTCATTGTAATGTCAAATGGTCACTAAATGAACTGTTGTAAGTCGAGAACTACCTGTACCAAAACAAATAAACTCTCCCACTCACAAATGGATACACATAAACAATTCAGCTGGGATTAAAGGTTTGGTGAAATATGTTTCTGTACTTTATGGAACTTCAAGAGGGCAAAGGCCAGAACAGAAAGCTTATTATCTTTTCCACATACCACATTTCTCTTTTTTATATATACAATTTTATTAAGTTTTTTTTTGAAAAAGAAGATAATACAAAATAATACAAAACTAATACAAAATAACAAAAATAAAAAGAAATCAAAGAGAAAGCTAAAAGTACAAGAAGGGGAGGCGGAGTAAAAGGAAAAATGGAAAGGAAAAAAAAAGGTACAAGTAGTAGCTTCCAATTTTCTTTATAGCAGTTACAAATTTACTTCTTGCTCTACAACCACTCTTCTTTCTATAATCATCCTGTCTGATCATTAAAACCATAATTCATGTTTGTTTGTTTGTCTTTTATCCAAAAAGGAGTTTCCAGTCGATAGTAGACTTAGATATTGTCTTTTCTTGGATCAAATAAGACAATTTAGCCATCTAAGCAAGTTCCATCATCTTCACCAACCATTCCTTTATTGTGGGTAGCCCTGAATCTTCCCATCTTTGTGGAGCCAGATCTTTGCATCTTTCCCACATTTTGCATGGAAGACCATGCTTTGCAAGTCCCCTACTTATGGACAGATTTGATTTTGGCAAAGCAGTACCTGATACATCCTGGCACTTATGCCATATGGAGCTTTGTAGGTTATAACCAATACTTCAACTTAGACCTAGAAAACTGGTGGTAGCCAGTGCAGTGATTTCATGATCACTGTTATCCTGCAAAAGCTGAACTGGCCAACTAATTGATCCTCTAAGGCTCCTGAAACAACCAAATACTGTACACTATAAAGTGAAGAAACAACTTCATTGCCTATAGCAAAAACAACAGCAATAATTATTTTTGGATCCTCTTAATTCCAAGCTTTTCATAGTTGAGTGAATGGCAGTTTCACATGGCAATTTTCATTCAAGCTCTCTCCTATAATTTTCTATGGAACATGATTTGATTGACTTGGCAAGAATGATAAATGACCTTTGTTACAACAGTGGTTAACAGCTCTACAAAATTAATGGGATTTCTGGTTGGCGACTGCAACCCTGCTATTATTAAAAAATAATTTGTCATACTAGATTAGAGGACAGGTTCATCAAAGTCAGCTAACCTATATTTTCGGGGGATTGAGGGGGCTTTATTTTTGTCACTTGGTTGTTAGTGGGTTCTTGATCTTTGCTTAAATTGTTGTTGGTAAAGTTTTAAATTTTCCTAAAGATGAAACTCAGATACTCTGGCCACCTAATGAGAAGGAAGGACTCACTGGAGAAGAGCCTAATGCTGGGAAAGATTGAGGGCAATAGAAGAAGGGGAAGACAGAGAATGAGGTGGCTGGATAGAGTCACTGAGGCAGTAGGTGTGAGCTTAAATGGACTCCGGAGGATGGTAGAGGACAGGAAGGCCTGGAGGAACATTGTCCATGGGTCGCGATGGGTCAGATATGACTTCACAACTAACAACAACAACACAAGTTTTAAAAGTGTAGATTTGGATTGGGAGTAAGAAAGTTATCCTTGTCACAATATGCATGGAAAAGCTACCTCAAGTCTGAAAACATACACTTTGCATGTGGCAGATCTCAGAATAATCCCCTAACCTCTCCAAATTGAATTGGCAAAACATTCCAGCCTACACATCTGGTGACCTCCTTCATGCAAACAATCTTATTTTTCAAAAAAGAAAAATATAACTATAATGACAAGAACACCATTCGATTGTTATGAACATATTGAATAAAGGGAAATAAAGTGTCGTTCAGCTCTCCTGTCTCTCATGTACTGTCGTACAAGTTGTTATTGAATCCTGATTCCATGAATGCAATATTCAGTTTCAGAAGCTTCTTTTCTTGTAGTTGTAAACCTAGATGCCAATAACCGAAAATGGATTAAGTCTATGTAGCAAGTTATATTGAAGACACCAGCAAAGATGCATAGTAAACCAATAAATGTTGGCATTTAAAAATCCCCACTTATTTAAAGAAAAGAAAGCCCAAAACAAACTATTACTATAGGACACATAATTCATACCAATAGCCCTGAAGCTTCTCATCCACCTAATGAAATGGTATAATTGATATTGTTTGCCAAACCTCAAAACATTTTGTTTGATAAAGTAGTGTACTTCTAAGTTCACAACATCTGTTTTTAAGAGCAAATATTCACTTCAAGAATTCTGAGTATTTTAAGGTTCAAGAAGTATCTCAAGCTGAGAAGAGTAAATGTAAAGTTAGGGAGGGAGGGAGGGAGGATAGGAAAGGAAGGGGTGTGCTGAAACCCTATATTATTGGCATGTGTTAAGGCAGGGGTCCCCAATCTGTGGGCCGTGAAGGCTTTGCAACCGGGCCACGGAAATGGCTGATGAGCATGCACACATGCATCCTCACTTGCTTGAACAGCAGGCGAGCATGTGTGTGGTCCATTTAAGTGAGCAGCAGGTGTGCAAATGAAGCTATCCGTGACCTTGTTAGCCACTCACACCTCTTTCCTCTCACGGCGGTCCGCAAAGCCAGAAACGTCAGGGAACTCTGTGTTAAGGCATTCAAAACTATTTTTTTAATTTGGTATTCAAGACCTACCCATTTTCTCTGGGCAACATTTATATCATATGAATTATGGATTAAATATTTATAGCTAGAGATGCGTGGATTTTATTGTTATTTTATGGTTTTGTAAATCACCCTAAAGGCAATTATTTCTATCCTCTATCAAGGCCAGATATTAGTATTGAATATAACTATTCTGACTTGATTCTGGATATAGACATTCCTCTAATTATCTTGTGCCATGCATATTTATTTTTATTAAACAAATTTATATAGCCACTTATATAACCCAAAACCAAGGCAACCCTCCTCTTCTTTCTCTCCTGCAAATAATCTTTGTACACCCATAAAAGAGAAACAACAAATACTTTTCTCTTCCTGTGAACTATATAATTTTCTTTCTTGATATCATATATACCATTTTAAGGTTATAAGTGTAAAAACTTACATTCCCACAATGCAAAATCTAAGCTATTTCTATCAAATAAGCAAGTTTGTTACGAAAAACCTCTAAGCCTTGTAGTCATGAGGTTTACATCTGTTTCTCCATCATATGAGTCAATCAATCAATCACATATTTATTACAGTCAAATTAAAAATGCTCAAATAGTACCTAGTTAAAAGTTCTAGAATAAAATAATGACAAATAACAAATAAAATCTATGTTGAAATCATAATTTGGCAGCCTACCTATCAGTTGCACATACACAAGAGCATAACCTAAGCTATATTAAGCTATATTAATTGTTAAATCGCAAAAGTCTATAGTTATTAGGTACTAAAATACAGCAGGGGGATAATATTAAAAGATTTGGTGCATTAATTGTATAAAATTATTATAATTGAGTATTCATCAATTTTCAGGGAATCTTTAGTGTTGCTATCCAGAATCTAGCTACCTATACTGTGACTACGATCCATTCATATTTAAGCAACCACTGAAGTGGTGTCGGACTGGCCAGGATACCTATTAATTATCGGGAAAATAAATTTTCTTTGAATGTTTGTATAAAAAGAGCAGCGAAGAAGGACATGTCCAGAGATTTCCACCTCTCCAGAATCACAGGGACAAGAGTCTTTCAGTCCTCACGTGGGCCTAATGCTTCATATAACCATATAACAACGTGGCTTCATTAAAGCAAGCACCTACACGTCCTTCTCAATAACCCAGATAAAGTCTTCAGGTCCACACTGGAGATGCATTTCGGACTGGCAAGATTGCTAACAGAAGGCAGGAGATAGCAAAGGAATAAAATGAGATGGTTTTTTTGATGCCCATGAATGCGTTAACCACAATTCATCTCTGAAGACAAGAAGCCTAAGGCGAACGCAGAGAACCATTTTGTTTGGGGTAAAATGCTTTTGCTTCACCAGGTTTTCTTGTTTCTTTCCAGCCTTCAGACATAATGAGTGTCCCGACCCAGGAGTGCCCGTCAATGGAAAACGCTTTGGTGATAGCCTCCAACTTGGAAGCTCAGTCTCTTTCCTGTGTGATGAAGGCTTTATAAGGACCCATGGCTCAGAAACAGTCACCTGTGTCTTGAAAGAAGGCAATGTGGTTTGGGATAATGCAGTCCTGAGATGTGAAGGTAAATTACCACGTGGGCTTCTCATTTTCCTTAGTTATAACTTTTTAGAGAAGGTGAGAAATATAATAAGTATCTGAGGAACTAATGGATATGAATTTTGATGCAAATTGATGTAACTGCAGGGGCATCTGGAGCTTTGGGAGGAAGCCAAGAAGGGAAGGTGATAGCTGTGATTACATGATCAAATCCCATCCTTTGTGATGACACATGTAAATAAGTGGGTTGTCTTCAATCATGTGGTTGTGGACAGCATCTTGACTTTATAGCCTCCTCCCGATGTCCTGGATATTCCTGCATGACTTACAGCTGCTTTGGTAGAATTTCCAGCTCGATTGGAGGGAAGTGGTGAGCTTAGAGTCTTTGCGTTGCAGGCAGTGCCACAGGCCTGTCTTCCCCCAGAATCTTGGAAGCCTTATCTGACCATTCCCATGAGAATACAGTCAGTTTGGCAACATTCATAGCTGACTAACAATACTGCCTCTGCTTGAGTTGAGTCACGCATAGTTCTGGTTGCTTGCATTAACAAGCTGCTAGATTAACTTAAAAAAAATATTGGACTCATGCTTTCTCTGTGTCTTTTTGGCCTTTTGCTCTGTTAAGTTTCCAGCAGAATTTAATGCTATATTTAGATTGAGGTAGGTTACATTAAAATGTTGTGAGATAAACCACATTTCATTATTCAATATTTTTATAAGTATAATTCCATGCCTTCTTGATTTCTTCATGGAGTTTGGAAATGACTAAAGATGAAATCATCCCAAATGGAAAAAAAAATAGTTTATTAATTCCTTGAGCTTCACTTAGGTCAGTTTTAGTTAGCTTCATTCCCTTAATTCTATACAAAAGGCAAAATTACCACATGAAATATTCTCCCACCAGGAAAAAAAAAGTTGTAAGGGAGACATAGTATCTCTCTGGAACACCCTGCCACCAAGAATATTAATGTCAAGTATAAGGACAGATGGATAGTTGCAACTGAAATCCTACACAGAATGCCCAGGGTTTTATTAAATTCCCTCATGTACTGAGCTGCTGAGATGTAGGTCCCCCAAGACTGGTCCAGTGCAAATTCTATTATGTGACACAATTGCCCCATCAATCAATTTGGGGATTATTGTTATTAGTTTTAATTTATTTAGAAAGATAACATTTAATTTCAAATATTGTATCAATTTGCATCCAGCCCAAAAGCATGATAGTCACATTAGAATCGATGCATTGAATAAAAGAACAATTCTGGGGATTTCTAAATCTATTTTATTTTGGTGAACTTGGTGCCTGCCTCTTGGGGAAAAGCCTGCAAAAAATTGCTTTTTGGAAATGAGTCTCCAGCCCAGCAATTGCTTCATGATAGCCGATTCTGACCTGGGGCCTTCTGAATGCAGTAGATACCAACTTGCATAGTCCTCAACCAATATGGGCAGTGGCCAAGCAGGCTGGGTTAATAGTGGGGAAAAACTGACGTGTTTGAAGTTATGACTGAGCAAAATGGAGAAAAGATTTAAGAAGGAAGTTTAAATCACAGATGCAGCAGAACACTCTCTTTTATTCCTCCCTCACACAAAGTTCTCTGTGAGCATTTGAATTTTCAGTTTCAAAGAAGCAAAGTGAAAAATATAGTTGTCAGGAATGTAAAACATTCTGCCTTCTTTCTGCTCCTTTACAGAACAGCTGTTAATTGATATCCTTACCATTGTTTGAATGCAGACACACTGAATTCATGATAAATACTTTCCAGAAATTAGTCTCTCCAAAGTCACTCATCCATATCACAATTTGGGGGAAGTAGAGGAAGAATATAACAAAGATTTTTTTATGCTCAGAACAATCTAATATACTTTCATACTTGAACCAGAGAATGCAGATTGCACTCTTTATGTCAGTAAGACGTTAATTAATAATGGCTTGAGCTTTTCCAAGACCTATTACATCTGACTTGTATAAATCCTCACCATCATTAGATGTCAGCAAAAAATTGGAGATGGTTTATATTTTTTTCTGCATAGTTTTTTTTCCTCTAACATTCTTAGCAAAGGTGAACCACTTTGGTGTACCAAATAGTTGGACCAGTCTTAATTTCAAGAAAATACAGATTACTTAAAAGTGTCAAAAGAACTAAGTTGATGTGATTTGCAAACAATCGCTTGTGACATAGAAGAGTATATGATCTCAGTCATGGTACTTTTGCAACAAACCGTGGCTAAACAACCACACTTAGATGTGGGGATCTAGCCATTATATTTGCTTGCCAGAGCTCTTCTTTGGAAACACCGGTGGCAGGAATGGTGGAATTGCAGCTATTGGCTCATTAGAGGTCAGGTGATCCAATTGGAAGTGAGATTCCAGCTGGTTTCCAAATCAACTGGCCATTCTCCTTTTTCTGTCATTCCAGAAGACTTCTGTTTTCTTCTAACTACCACCCCTCGCTTCTCTGTCCAATTTCCTTGCTTCATGCTAGAAGCAAGGAAATGCTTTCTTTGTGCTTCATGCTAGAAACGATTGCACTTATAACCTCCTTGCTCCAAGTTATTCTTCTTCAGTCACAGGAAGTGTAAAATTTGTCATTTATCTGTTCTGCCTTTTCATTTCTTTTCAAAAAAAGCATCAACATTACTCACAAACTGTTTGCAGCTTTGTTTACTTCAACTCCACTCTTGTTAAATCTCTTCTGAGTAGGTCATAGAAGCTTGCTAGTTCATGTGCCATTTCACTCTTAGTTTAAGTAGTGGAGGAAATTAAAAAGTATCAAAACCATTTCAAATTCCTTTTCATTCTCTGACAGTTTTGATAACCTTATCACTATCAATGTGTCCTCCTTTATCCCCCATCTCTCTTGCTTGCCTTGAACCTGCCCTCCAGTATGAGCTCAATTAAATGTAATTTCTAATTATCATCTTTTTTAATTAAACAAGAGGGGGAAATCTGTCTAGAATATTTAAGGTGCTGTCTGACATTCGAGGAATAAAAATCATCAGCAAAATGGGCAGAGCAAAGCACCTGGGATTGAGAAAATGGATAGAACAGTGTTGCTTCCAAATTCATGGGAGGCAATTGGTGGATTATGCTTTGGAATTTGGAATTGATACAATTTTGGAAATCCTATTTTAAAATTATACAATTTGAACATGGGGGAAAAATTGAGAGATTTCAAGGAATGATCCAGGAAATAGGTAAAATTAGATTCTTTTTTTGTGAATTTCTTTCTTAGGCATGCTTAAGCTATCAATTATTTTTTCTTAAAGCACAATGTTTGAAATAGATACAATCTCAGTCTCACAAGGCATTTTCCCCCCAAAGGTTTTTTTTTTCTTACTTCCCTAAGAACCACTGGCTTAATTAACTCCTATCCAACATTTGTTAAGCCATCAATTATTGACAGATACGTGTTTTACCTGCACCAAGTCATTCCTGGCTCCTTGCCTGAAATCCTGGCAAGCCATTGCAAGTCAGCATCAGTTGTACTGACCTAACTAATACTCATAAACCCAATTTAACCTAGAAAGTCTGAGGCAGTCCCAAGGAAGCTGTGCTACAACTCCCAGTGGGCTTTCCTGCCAATGCTGATTGTAGGCCAGCAAAACCTGGAGAGCTGCACCTTAACATGTGTGACCTGTTGAGTGGCAAGGAAAAGCTGCTTTGTCTCATGGTTACCATCTGTTCATGGCCACTGGAGTGCCATGCTTGCAACCGTTTTGCAAGCAATCCAGACTGCGGGACTGTGACCTTTCCCCCACCCCTGAAAGTTCTAGTAATGGTCTGAGACATTTAGGATCAGTCTTTCAGCTTGGTTGATCCCTGGTTGATAAATATGGTGTCAAGGTTCCATTTGATGAACCTAACCCAGCAAGTATTCATGAGATGGTCCAATCACTTCCAAGCTCTCCCAAAATGATGTACTCAATGAAGCTTTGAATAAAGGGATTGGATCATCTCTTGCAACCTTGACATATGGAGAGAGCCTTCTGTGACAAAATGAAGCAGAAAGGAAGTATGCTATTGTTTTACAGTAATATTGCTTTTGTACTGATAGTTGGTTGTAACTTCTTTATTTTCCTCCCTCTCCTTGATAGCTCCCTGTGGTGGCCATCTGACCTCACCAAATGGAATGATCCTGTCTCCAGGGTGGCCGGGGTTCTACAAGGACTCTCTTAATTGTGGATGGGTCATTGAAGCTCAACCAGGGTACCCAATCAAAATCACATTTGACAGGTGACCAACAATTTACTCATGTCAATAAAATTGCATAAAATTATTATTATTTGCATGTGTGTATTAGGTTGTGAAAAACTTGAAAAAATATTTATTTTTGTAAAAAAAAAGCTATGATACACTTTTTAAAAGATGCTTCATTGAAGTAAATGCCTTCCTTCACTGTTGAAAGCAAAACAAAATGTTGTATTGTGTTTCTGAGGTTTCTTCCATCATGAGGCTAATTTAGCTGTTCCTGGCTCTTTAGTACCTAACAGAGAGAGATGGGATGGAAAATCTTCAAAATACTTTGAAGTTTTTTGGAATTTTTATTTTTCAATGAATACATCAAAGAAAACATTTAAACAAATAGAAAAATAAACATGAAAAAGAATGAAAAACATATTTTACTCTTTCATGTTCCCTTATGTGTGTGTGTGTGTGTGTGTGTGTGTGTGTGTATTTGTTTTCTTAAGTTTTCGTGGGTACTTACATGTATGGTATTCAGCTTTGTTCCGATATTTTCCCACGTCATTATAGTTGTGCTTTTAAAGTTGTAGCAACGTTTCAGCAGAATCTCATCTGCCATCATCAGGCTTCTGTATTGTGTTTGAATGTTAAGAGACTAAAAAGCACTGTTGTACAGTACACTACTATCAACACAGTCAATGTTTTTAGACATGTTTTGATTTAGCTATCACATAAAATTGAAATATAGATTGCCTGCATTAATAAATCCAAATTTTGGCTGCTCAAAATTGGTCAGGCCCAAGCCCAAAGATGACACATTGAAATCCAGTTGAGTCCCAGTTATTTCTTTACTCACTTCTAATAAACAGAACCTTGCCAAACTAAAGCTATATCTTTCTAAGCTGTAGTGTATTCAAATAGAGACTTTTAAGTCGATGTTCCTATTGGTTAATAAACACAACGAGCTATTGGCTAATAATGCAAGCATCCAATTGGCTGCCTAAAGCGGCGGGAAGTTTGAATAGATGCCATTGGTTGCGAGCCGCAAGCAGCTGCTATAAAAGGGGCTGCCGCAGCTCGACTGCAGTTGGAAGTTACTAGTTATTATTAAAAAGAGCTGAATTCAACTCCGGTCTGTGAGTCTCTTTTTGGCGACAGAACATAAACTATTAGATATATCCTGACAGATATTAGTGTGTGGCTACCCTGAACCTCTTCCTTCCTCCCCCATCCAGCTGGAGACTATGCAGTCTGTTAATTTGGGCTTGTCTCCAGAATGTGCTGCCTCCTCTCTGGGAAAGCTCTGTGCTGCCAAAACTCCCCTCGTTGTTTCTCCAGGTGCACATTCCATTACAAGAACATTTTTAAAAATTTAAAGATAGATTTTGAATGGGAATTGAAATAACTCCTTTTCATGGCATGCTTGCCTTTCTCCAGACATACCCACTACAATTTGTGTCCTTTTTTTGGTGTGTCACCCACTTTCTCTTAATTTTCACCTAATTCAGAGCATTTGGGGCATTCTTGATGAAGTGAAGATAAAAGGGAAAAGGCATCTGAACAACTGGAAGCTAATGCTTTTCCTTTAGTATGAATAACAAGAGCCGAACAAAGGATTCTCAAAGGATTCCTTTCAGGTGCAGACAGCCTCTTAGGGAAGCGGACATATTCATAATGGTGCTCAGTGGTAGAATGCAATTCCCAGGGAGGGAATTAATTATTTCATCTAGGCCATGTTTTTCTACCCTTGGGCCTTTCTGTTCTTGCTGCTCTTTTAAAATTGGTTCTGTTTCATGTTTTATTCTCTGTTCAGGGTTATTGATTTTAATTTGCCATTTGTTTTAATCACAGTTTATGGTGTTGTTTTTAGAAAGTATTCATTTTGTTTTGATTCTGTAAGCTACTGTGAGAACTTCGGTGGTAAGAGCAGTTTATAAATACGGAAAAGGGAATAAAATTAAATAGGGGCTGAACGAGGGTAGGATAGGTTCAGCTCACTTTGGGGGATTATATTTAACCCTCAGATATAAAAGAGGTAGCCTGCAACTTATAATCAGTCATTTAGTGACAGCTTTACGTTACAAACCCCTCCCCCCCAAATCTACTTATGACCCAGTTTCAAAGTTCCTATGTCATCCACCTCACAGTTCACATCACTGAATTTGGATGCTTGGCAGCTGTCCCACATTCATGGTCATTTGCAGCACCCATGGGTCATGTGACCACAATTTACAGAAGTTTTGCTGAAAACCAGTGTTTACTTCCAGTTTCCAACAGAAACATAGCCCACATCAAACAATTAGTTGGCTTAATAGCCACTGTATTCATTTTATAGCCACTGTGTTTGCTTAATAAGTGCTACAGAAAAGGTTATAAAATGAAGTCTAATCAGTAGTGACCCACTTTGTGATTATCACAACTTATGACCATAATTGTGAAGCTTAATTATGGCCATAATTGGAGGACTACCTATTATGAGAAGAGAGAGGAAAGGATGAAAGGGGGCTAATTTATTACCAACTTTTCTCTCAACTTTCTTTTCTGTAGGTTTAAAACGGAGGTGAATTATGATACGTTGGAAGTGCGTGATGGCAAATCCTACTCGTCCCCCTTGATTGGAGTTTATGATGGGACCCAAGTCCCCCAGTTTCTCATCAGCACCAGCAATTTCCTCTACCTGCTCTTCACCACGGACAAAAGTCATTCGGACGTTGGCTTTCAGATCCACTATGAAAGTAAGTAAATTAGATCTTTTCCAATGTCATGATAGATCGCCTAAATCCATAGAACAGATCTTCTTCACATGCTTTTCATCCCAAATGTGCTAAGGACTTAAATCTCTATGTTGCTGGCTATGACTGTGGCACAGGCAGCTGGTACAAGTCCAAACAATGATACTCAAGGTGTGACTTTCTCCCTTCATGATGTTAATTACGTACTTGTGGTCTTGATGGAAATACATAATTCTCATTACTTACAAACTAGGTAAAACTGTATGCACCATCATTGGGTCTCTATATTAGCGATGTAGAAAACACTGTCCTAAGAGCAGGATGAATGCAAATGAAAATGTGGAAAGGTGAAAGGAAGAAAAACAACAACAAGCACAATAGTGCAAGTGAATAATAATAATAGCTGAATGTATTTAAAATCTAAGCATGGAACAGAAATAAAAGAATCTCAATTGAATCTGAATAGGTTCCATACAAATTAAAGGCATTATAACCTAGGTAACTCTAACTCTGACAAAATTAATAGAATATCAAACAGGTAACACTTTACAATAAAAACAATAGATAAATTAGTCATTGTAAGTCAAGGGCATTAGTTAAATCAATGTAACTGGTTAAATAAAGTAAAATTATATAATTGAAAAACCAGAGAGACCTGTTAAGGAGGCCAGTCCAGAAGCTAAAAGAATTTTTTTTGTAATAGAGTAGAGTAACAGATTAATTAAAGCTGTCCAGGATTCTCTCTTATATTAAACAACATCAAGATTTGAGTTCTTTTGAATTTCTCTCTCCCATTCATTCTTTCTCAGGATGACCTAATGTTCTCCCTCACAAATCCCCTCTTAATGCCTTATTCATTCCTTCTGAATTCCTCTGAGGGAGATGGACAGTTTAACAATATGATTCATAAATAAATAAATAAATAAATAAATCGATAGCTCTATATTCTATTACCCAGTCAGAGTATTACCCAGCGGCTCGCCTGGCTGTTCCTCTAAATCAGGGGTGGGCAATTAATTTTCTCAAGGAACAACATGAGAAATTGGGATTGCTGTGGAGGGCTGCCACCCCCCTGCCTTGCCACCATTCTGCCCCCTGCTACTGCCACTGTACCAATGCCCCACCCTCTGATCATGATGCTGTGCCCCCAATGTCACAAGGATATCCTGTCCCTGATACCCCACTCTCTGTCCCTGATGCCTCACCCTGCTGATGCCAATGCCACAGGCTGGACTGTCGCCTGCAGGCCATAAAATACCCAGCTCTGTTCTAAGTCAAACAAAAAAGTGTTAAGCCAGGCTTAATATTTAAGAATTAATTCATTATCTGAAGAATAAGAGGGAACCAAAGACCTGAGAGTAGGTCCTGGAGAGTTTTTTTTTTCCAAAGAATTCTACTTTACTCTACCCTCCATGCTTTTCAATCTCTAAATGAAATTGTTGGAGCTTAATTGTTGGAATCTGGAGACAAACTCGGCACCCTGAAGATACTCAGACTGAAGATGTCTGTCCTGAATTTTGCAGTGAAAATGTTGGCCTCTTTTTTAAAATGAGTGGTGAATTGCAGAAGGCCCCTTCTGAAGTTTAATTGAAACTCAGTCCTGAAAAGAAAGAAAAGCTTTTCACACAGATGATGTTTAACCTATTTTGGACAAGGATGTCTGTTTCCAGACAAAATAGAGAGTTCTGTGTGGACCTTCCTCTATTAATAAACGCTGTCTGACTTGGAGAAATGAGGCAGAGCTATTTAGTGTCTGACAGCCTTCAGTTCTGATCATCATGAGGCTGTTGTTGTATTTGGCACCTTTATGTGTTATTCATACATTTCTGCTAATTGAAATAGGTTTTTGTGGGTGTTCTCTCTGATACTTTAAAAAAAAAATCTCCAGTCACTTTAAAATTATTTTCTGTGCTCAGTTCCAAATGTTCACTGCTTCTTTTAGAAGTCTTATACACACAGTTTGGGACCATAAAATATGGTGTAACATCCCACGGAGTTCACATAGTTCAGGCATTTTCAGTTGGCAATGCCTCAGGAATAGCCTCCTTCTGCAAACCTCACCATCATTTTGGCTACTATTATACTATTTATTTTATGTACATTATCCTCCAAATATGGTCTATGATTATTATAATGAGGGCAATGATGTGTTTGTATTTCCCTTCCCAACCCCTTCCCATTTTGGGGTTGTTGCTTCAGGTTTGCCATTTAATACACCAAACAGATCCTGTACAATTGTCATGCCCCTGGTGAAGACTGACTCTGAGGAAGAGGAGGAACAGCCAACAGGGAGTGGGAGTGTGGCTCCAGAGGTGGTGGAGGAGGCTGGGGAAGAGCAGAGGCCGGCTGAGCAATCAGAGGAGGATCCAGGCCCATCCCCTATCCATCCTAGGTCACGCAGGGAGGAGAGGATCAGGGAAAAGTGAGGTCTACTCAGGAAGAGATTACTATGATCCTCCTTGTGGCTTGCAGCTGGGAGCTATGTATATAAGTTTGTAACTGCGCAGTCAGAATTGCTGGAGTCAAAATTTAGTGTTTACTTTGAAAGAGGTTTATCTTTGCTGGCGTTCTTCCCATGGACTCTCCTTGGTTATTTTCCTGGAGTTTATGATTAGTTATCTTGGCTTGCTTTGGAACACTCGTCAATGTGGTTTGTTTTGGTTTTCTTTTTTGCCTCATCATTTACTTTTGTGACTTTAAACTGTGCCTAATAAAACAGTGAAGTTAAGTTGAAGGCCTTACTGTACTTTAATGTATGTTTTAGGTTTTGGGTCATTTTGAGAGACAACGGGTCATCACATGCCCTAATCGAAAAGCAATGTTTCAAATCCCATTTCCATTCCATTCTGTGTTATATTAATGCACATTAATTAAAAGAGCTTCATTATCAGCCCACAGTCAGCACCAAATGATCAATTAACAGCAGGGAAATGCATTGTTTTTCTCAAAGGTTCTATTAAACACAGTGTGGTGGTCTCTGACCTAAGTAAAAAAATGCAGATTTTTGATTACAGTTCTAAGTTTCACTGAACAGAGTCGGGCTTTGAAACAGATGTAAATCTGACCAGATTGGATAGTACATGCTTCTCCCAGAACACTGTTGGGTCCCAAGTTTAATATTTCTCAATACTGAATTGCATGGTGCAAAAATGTGTATTATTAAATTATCTGTGTATCCCATCTTTTTATCGAGATAAAATTCACATCTTACTCAGCTTTAGTGGCAGCCACATATGAGCCTCAGTACTAACAGGCACAGACTGAAAAATTGAATGCCCTTATTTTTTACAGCGGTAAAGCTCCAGTCCGATCACTGCTTGGATCCAGGAATTCCAGTCAATGGACTACGATATGGGAATGATTTCTATGTGGGGGCACTGGTGACTTTTGGCTGTGATCCAGGGTATACTCTGAGTGATAGTGAATCTCTGGAGTGTGAGCCAAATTTTCAGTGGAGCAGGCCACTTCCAAGCTGTGAAGGTAAGAATCTAAAACTGGAATGCTAGAAGTTGAACAGAAAATGATATGCTGCGCTAATTCTATTCATCATGAGGTGTGGTGGAATGTAGTCTGGATTCCCAGGTGAGAAAGGATGCATTCTAAAGGGCAAAGAAGCAGCTAAGAATGGAGAGTTTGGTCAGGAGAAAGCGAGGTAGGAAGGCTCCTCTCTAGTGATTCCCAGAGTTTATCTTTAGTGATACAAATTGTCCCAAAGTCACAAGTCAAGGCTGCTTTAGTTTGATAAGATGTCTACCTATAAGTAAAGAATGTAAAGGAAATAGTTCCTTGGGGCCAAAATCCCCAGGTCAGGATCTTTGCAATGTGCTGTCTTCCATACTGCTGCATTCTTCCTTCCTTCCCCCTGCCCCAAATATGGACTTAAATATGGAAATCTGGATACCTACAATAGACTGGTAAAGATCCAACTTGTTTAACAACAGTGGTAAAATTTGTCTCTCACTCTTTAGATTATTGAGTTGAAGAAAACTCAGATAAGTCTAGGAGAATTCTGTGTGTCAGAGCTCTGAATTCTCTTTGGTCTTTACATTCAAATCACTGGCCTTGTTTAATTTTCAACATATGTTATTTGTGTTAGGTTCTAGTGGGAATTTTGCTTAAGACCCTAGAATTCTGCTTAAGAATTCTTGCCTTCTGCCACTTCAAGATTTTTTAAAGGGAATTGTATAGACATGTTTTTAATAATTCAATAAAATAGCTATAGCTGTCTGAAATCTTCCCTAATGTAATTTTAGAGGTTCTCAAGCGTCCTTTCTAAGTATCAGAAGCCCCAAAGGATAATAGGGAGATGCAGAAGCAATGGAAGGTGTTTCCAACATCCTTTTGGTTAGGAAAAAAGAAACAAAATTAAACTCTTCCTATAGGGTAGTGGTGGGATATAACTATTTCCAAGGCTATTGTTGCTCAAAGTCCTGGGAAGGGGGAGGTGGTAAAGAAGACACAGGTTGAGACAAACACAATTACTTCATTTGGGACAAGTCAGACTTGGAGCTATGTTCAGCTCTATGTTTTTCTGCATTTGATCAGACAATTTGAGTGTACAAAGGCAGAACAAAGGCTTAAAGTATAGCTAGGGTCTTGAGTCATGGCATACATGCAAGCTAGGAACAGGCAAGACTCCCAGTGATCCATTCTAATGTTCTTTGACCATTAATGAATTAGCTGCAGAAGAATGTCCCTGTAAAATGATTACAATGACATGCTCCTCTAGGTATAACTGGAAAACATAAGTAAGCCATCTGGATGTGCAGGGGAAAGGAGGAAGAATGTGTGGGGTGATGTTTATGTCTTTGCTAAGGAAAGGCACAAGACAGCTGGAACTTCTAATGTCTACTTCTTTTTTCATGATGGTTTTCAGCTCTCTGTGGAGGCTATATTCAAGGATCTAGTGGCACTGTATTATCACCAGGCTTTCCAGATTTCTACCCCAATAATTTAAATTGCACTTGGATTATAGAAGCTTCTCATGGCAAAGGTAAGTCCTATGATTCTTCCATGTTTTCATCAACCCCTCTCCCCTTGGAAAGTTAGGAGGATCTACCCCCACAAGATTCTTGGCATGCTCCATAGAGCAGGCACAGAAGCAAAAGAAGAGGAGTGATTGTTTCACTATGCTCATTATAAAACAAAGATCCATTGAGACAAAAAAAGGCTGCTATTACAATTTAGCTTAAGAGTATACTTTGGATCCACTTTTACTATTTTGATGACTTCCTCACATCATTCAGAAAGTTTCACCTTTAAGCATCTTTAGATACTTCCATAACATCCTCTATTTCTAAGGAAAATGTTTGAAATACCCTTGGAACTTCAAGGTGCACAAAATATGTCTACAGTCATCTGCTTTGAGGCTCACCAGGCCTCACCAGTAATTAAACATTGCCTTTTTATTAATAGGCAACTGTAGAAGCCATAATAAGTTACCTACAGCTTGAAAAAGTTGAATATTTTATAGACAGATAGTATTTTTTTATTGTTTATGTATTGAATTGCTCCTTTTTTATTCCTGTCTCCCAGCATTCTTTACAATTCCTTCCACCTAAATTTCCTTAAATCCTCTTTCTTTTGCCTTGGGTTGCCATCTCCTTGCTATGTATTTTGGCAGAACACACATTGCCTGTTTTTCCCACTCATCAGATTGTCTGAAGCTCTTTCCTGCTTCCTTTCCTGTTTCTCTGTTCTTTCATAAAGTGGAATTGGAAGAAGTTATGCTCCAAAGAGCTGAGAAAAAAAGAGGGATTTAGGGAGAGAGAAGGGGGCAGGATACAAATTATACATTAATTTTGAATGTCCTTCAATAGCTCAATTCCTCTAGTCTGCTAGGAATCCAGACAATGGGAACTATTATCAATCAATTCTGTGTTGCCAATTGTATTAAGGTAGATAAACCCACTGTTGAAAAGTGCAACACATTACTAAGGAGTTACATGCTGTGCAGAGTATCCCACAGAGCGGAGCAATCTCCTCTTCATTAATCCACTCAACCCTGAAATCTCACTTCTGATGAGAAGCTTCTCATTATCCTAGTGCAATACTTGGCATATACCACATAGAACTTGATTCTTTCCCCCTAAAACATGATTCAAATGGTCCCTTCTTTTTGTTCGGATCAAAGTGTGGCTTTTGGCCACCCTTTGTGAGCAGCATTTGTAAGCTGTGCAAGGCAACATGCTTTCACAGCACCCGTTTTATAAATAGTTTATTTTGCAAATGCTAGGATCTCTCTGGTACCAGCCTTATGGGATCAGAATGCATTATGGCAAGGCAGATGGGTGGTCTGTGGTGTGCTTTCATGGAAGAACCTGGCAGCAATCTGAAGACAACAATAAAGTCAGAAACAGGCCAACAGGGCAGGTCCATTATCTGATCCAGCAATCACTTTTCTGTATAATTAAAGGCTCTGGGCACTTCCAAGGCAGAGTTCATGCAAAGCATCATCACATGCAGTGATTTCAGGACCCTGGACAGCTATCAGGAATTTACAGTGTGCTTTAGCTCCATGTTTACTAGCACTATATTTTTTTCCTTTTTGCTGGGAAAATAGGATTCCTGGGACCCTCAGCCCAATTTCCCATCATTTTGACCACATGGCTATCATGGAGGTTTAGCCAGAAAGCAATAAATTACCAGAAGGCAGATTAGTGAGATTATTCCTGGCTCTTCTGTCTAATCCACCAGGACTATTAACCTTCAACATCTTCTTGTCTTCCCTCACACCAACATTAACATTTTAAAATATATATTTTGTCATGTACATCAGAGGGCTCTATTGCCAGATTAAAGAAATAAAATTCAGGAAACTTAGAAATAAAGTACAGGAAAAGATTGTTTCTACATCGGTTATTTTTTACAGGATGGGTAGTTTTAAATTCATTATTTTTTTTAATGAGTGGCTGCCAATTTGTTTCAATCTAGGGTATCCCAAAGATGCTTTTTCAAGAGGCAACTGGACATTCTGATTTTTCTTTAAAGACTTTTCACTTCTCAACCAAGAAGCTTCTTCAGCTCTTCAGAAGCTTCTTGGAAGATAAAATGTCTTCAAGGAAAAACCAGAAAGTTCAGTTGCATCTTGCAAAAGCACCTTTGGGACATCTTAAATAACAGTTCTATTTGGACTTTTCCATCTTTCTGTCTACCTGTCAGGCTGATTCTTCTAGAGGGAAAGATTTTGTGCAAGTGTGCACAATAGTCTCTCTCTCTCTCTCTCTCTCTCTCTCTCTCTCTCTCTCTC